TGACAGGATATACTAGCTCATTTTACTTGGACTTTATCTTGACATGTAATTTTCTCATCAATGGTTTTATAAAAAAAGGCATCATGATATACATCTAGGACATCTTTACCTTATTGTTACCACTCTTTGTTGTCCTAGATGGCAAGTTCACCTTTAGCTGGTACCACACCTTTAACCCAAACCTTCATGTTCTAACCTCCTGCATTCTTTTAAGTCTAATTTGACAGATATGTGCAAAAACGCCGGAAAGGGATGAACAACATAGTTTTCAGTCACTCAAGAGAAATACTGAAACAGACCAGAACGGAGTGTGCCAGAAATCTTATGATGCCTCAGAAAAACTCATTTCTAAAGTTAAATTTCGTGCTCCCTAAGACTCCAATCAAAAGGCAGTTTCTCCTTTCGAAAAAAACGAAAAAAGAGAAAAAAAGAAAGAAAATGAAACTAAAAGCCTAAAAGAGTCTTAGAAGCCGAAACCACTTGAGCCAAGGAATTAGGTACTCACTTAAGGAGTTATGGATTCACAGCCTGGACAAAAATCCAAGTCTGGGGGAACTATAAGGAGAACCTGAAGAAAGGATATCAGAAATCTGAAAGCAAGAAGAATGTGACTGAAACTGTAGGGGCATTTATAGTTCCATCCTCTCTTGCTGTTTTGCATAATGTCCTGTCTCTCCAGAAAAAGATAACCCTAAACACATAAAGCCTTACCATTAAAAAGTTTTTTGATACCTAACCTTGAATGCCTTGTTTAATATCCTTTTGATGAGAACCACTGAAACCTTTAATGAATGTTAAGAGCTAGTTGACTGGAAGTTAGTTCTGAGTGTGTGAATTTTTGTATGACGGATTAACGGACTAGTTATGTTTGTATTTTGGTGAGAATTTTCTAGACTTGATCTGATTGATGCATTGTCCATAATTAAGGTCTAGAAGTATGGTTGCTGATATTTTTGAGTTCCCTCTCACTTTTGTTGAATGATATTTTCCAGATTTGATCTTGTTTTGTTTGAAGACAAACAAGGTCTTAAGTCTGAGGGAGTTGATAACACCCGATTTTGACTACTTTTCACCATTGATTTCAAATGCTTTTTCAAAGGTTTTAATCAGTTTTAGGAACTTTTATTATGATTTCCATATATTTTTAGTTTCAAGGCTCTTTTCAGAAAACTTAGGGAAAATGATGGCAAAATGGAAGAAATCCACTTTTTCAGCTCAGAGTCAGACCATCGGAAGTTTGGTAACAAATGGAGGCCTTCCCACCGTCCGATCCAGCTCAACTTTGGAGACAATCAAGAGGAGACAACCAGCTTTCCATAGCACTTAACATCACAAAGATCCAACGCTGCAACCAAAAGATACATGGAGAACAAGTTGACCCAGTTCACCAGTCCCGGAAGACTCTCACCCGCGGGAAACACATGTTTTACCTGCCCTGGAAGACTCTCACCCCCGGTGGACCTTAGGACGAGCAACAAGGCCTAACATCAAAGCCCACTTCACCATTTCCTTTAAAGAAGCTCTAAATGAGACCTGGAAGACTTTAGGACCTATAAATACATTGTTTAGCAGCCCTAAACAGGTGTGTGCTGCTGTAATGAGATTTTGAGCCACCAAACTATGTTTTTCTAGGGTTACGCGATGAAGGTGGGGATTCTTCCCCAGATCCATTGTTTTTTCTCCTTTTTATCTTATTAACTTTTCTGTTTCATTCTTTTGCATTCTTCTATGTCTTTCATCATTCATTGCATCATTAGATTAGTCCTAGAGAGTCAAGTTGTTTGAAGATATAGACAAGCATATATATCAATTAGGATTTCTATTGTTCTAGACCATATTCTGTATCTCATCCCTTCTAAGTGGTTCATAAAGCATGAGAGTAGATTCATGACCTATTCTCTGAGCCTATGATTGATCAGAGCCACGAGAGTGCTGTATCAGATCATCCATACCTAGCTTCAGAAGAACATAGTCGCTATAGGAGTCGAAACGAATTCAATGTCTAATGCATGATCTTAACTTTAGCATTAGAGCGAGAGTTAATTGCTAGATCTAAGAGATTAGTTGATTAAGGTGATGAGAGTTGGTTAATGATATATATGTCTATTCTAGTTCCATGCAGATTCCCAAAAACAAATGAAGATAAATCGCCTGGAAGCTAATTGGAAATGCCATCATACATTGATTAGAGTAAACCGGAGAAGTTTAAATCGCCACCTATGAGTTTAAGAGTCTTTAGTTTGAGTCGATATGCTTTAGATGTTCTTTTAACAATTCATCTTGCATTGCATTTCTTGTGAATATTAGATTAGGTTTAGTTTAGGATCTTAACCAAAAACCCCAAAAGTTTTACTGGTTTATGGCTTTGCGTACTTCCCAGTTTGTTGTTTCTCGCAGATTATACATCCTCCCTGTGGATCGACACCCTAAGTCCTACAACGTACATCGGTGCACTTGCAGACACTAGAGTTTTATAAATTTAAAACTTTTGGAGGACCAACGGGCTTGTTAAAAAACAACTCTAGGCCCGCAAGCCCATCAAGGATGCAAGATATTATGCAAAACTGCAAGAGAGAGTGGACCTGTTGATGTCCGCAAATTTTCAGTAACTTCTTCTTGCCCAATGTTGTTGCATAATCTTTCCTCTTTTGTTGTGAATAATTATTCCCCAGACTTAAATTATTTCCGGGAATCAGAAAAATGATCTCCAAAACTCCATAAAATTGAACTCTAGTTGCCTTTGGACTTAAAATTCAACCTCTCTAAACTCTCTAAGGCTTTTATTTCCTTTCCTTTCCTATTTTTGGATTTCATTATTAATTTTTTTTTAAAAAAAGGGAAATGCCTTTTAAAGGGAGAGAGACTAGAGAACGAAATTGTACCAGAATTTGAGATTTTTCCAAGGCAAACTGAGCTTCCTCATGTGTTAAATCTTTCTGGAAAGTTTTTCGGCAAAATCACAGGTCTTTGTCTTTAGTGACTGAAAACTGCGTCGTTCCTCTTTCTCTCCAACGTTTTTGCACATATTTACAGCATAGAAGACGATAGAAAACAAGAGTGCATGTGGTTTGAAAGAGGTTTGGTTAAGGTGGAGAACTAGCTAAAGATGAACTATCCATTCAGGATCAACAAAGAGTAGTAAAAGGGTAAAGGAGTCTTGAATATATGATTTGTTTTCCTGATCTAATGCTTCAATCAGAAAATTAAGTCAAAATTAAGTCCAGATAAAATGAGCTAGTATATCTTGTTAGAAAGAATCTCCATGAATAGTAGTCCTCTGGTGGTAGTTCGTAATGCAAGTACTCTAGCTACCGCCTAGTCTAGGCCTAAATCACAAAAAGAGCAAAAAACGAGGAAATAGCGTAGAAGAACACTAGTCTAAATCATCATAATATTGTTTAATAATGTTCCTGGTTTGAAAACATTTTGAAGAACACTTTGAAAAACTTTTTGAAAAATATTTATGTGTCCAAAACAAACTAAAAACAAATTAAATTTCGTTAGTAACGGATGAACATCCTCCCCCAAACTTATTTCACACTGTCCTCAGTGTGATAAATCTTGGAAAGAATGGTGAAGAAAATAGAAAAGTTAAAATGTTTAAGTGTACTTATCGTCCTTAGGGTTACAGGAAAATTCTTCGCTCTCTAAATTTGTCTAAAGTTCGATCTCCTCTTTTTAGAACGACCTAAATGGGGTATTTATAGCTTCTAAAGTCGTTATGGGCACTTAGGGCTTCAAAAATAACGAAAAGAATTTATTTGGGCTCTAATTAGGTTGTTTGGGAAGTGAAAAACTACTGGCAGCGGTCGTGGTGCTTCTACCCGCGAGGAAATAGCCTTTGGCCGCGGTCCCGGCTGATGTCGTCTTCTGAAACTATATTTTCTCTCTTTTATTGTATCGGGTGTATCTGAAGAGCTAACTGTTGAATTGTCTTCAAACCAAATGCATTAGAAAGCTGGTTGTATCCTCTATGTTGTCACAAATTTAGGGGGTGATCAGACGGTGAGAAGCTCTTCATCGCTTGCCATACTTCTGACGGTCTGCATTTATCCAAAATTGCTTATTTATTCCAAATTGCATATTTTTTCCCCAAGTTTCCTGAAAAGTCTTATGAAACTCTAAAACATTGAAAACACTTTAAAAACCTTTGAAAACAGAGTTAAAACACATACATAAGACATTAATATGATCCATAAAAGTGGTCAAAATACAGTGTTATCAATGTCTAATGTTACTTGCTTGATTGGTTAGAGCTAATTAAAAATTGGTGTTATCAATGTCTAATCGGCGACCCATAGGTATATTCTTCACAACTTATAAAAAATTGGTTAGAGCTAATTACATATCCCATTTATAAATCTCTTTTATTCTTTAAACAACAAAAGTAAAATATAAATAAATCTCATTTATTCATTAATTCCACGTGTTAATTGCATCACTAAAGAGGCAAGAGCACAAAAGTTTTGTTTATCCAGGTAAGCTGTTCGTTGTTGCGTATAGTTACCTCACGGAGTCAGATTAATCGAAAACGATACTTTAGTTGTCAAATACAAGGCCGTGCCTATGTGGTAAAATTTGAAACATTGGCCTAGGGCCAAATTTTTGTTTTTAACATTTTAAAAACTTATTTCTTTTTATTAAAAGATATAATATATTAGAATTTCAATGGTATATATACTTTTAAAGTTTAAAATAGATATTTTTCATATTCCAGCATAGTTTCTACAATTTTATCATATACAAAATATTTAAAAACAAAATTAAAATATAAAAATAAAATTAAAATATTAAAACAACATTAGTAAAAGATGTTAAATCTTTACTGAATAATATTTGTAAATTTTGCCCTCTTATTTTTTTTTTTTTTTTGGAAAATTGTTTAGGGCCTCAAATAACTTGGGCACGACTCTGGTCAAATAGAACAAAAAAAAATACAAAGGGGTTTGATTGTTGGTTTTGCCAGTTCAAAAAATTAGTATTAGAATTTGACAAGAAAATTATATGAGAAATGGAGGTCATGGATTCCGAATATCATCTACGAAGAAATGTAACATATGCATCCAAGTTTACTGAAGCTTGACAACAACAACAACAACAAAATATATATATATAAGATGAGAAAATGGATTCACTCTATTTACTCAGCTTCTTCAACAGAAGCCTCAATTCGAAGGAGAACGAATCCAACGGCAACACCAACAAGAGTAAGGGCGTTCATGATTGCTGCAATTTTGAAAATCTCTCCAACGGCGTTACAAGTTGAGGTTATGGCTCCTCCACCGCTTGTTCTTCCCTTGAGAGACATCACAACATTGGCAAAGCACTGATCTGTGCAGAGTGGTAATCCCATCGAGACAACCTTGTTGTTCTGTGCCTTGAGACCGCCATAAGAATTTAGTCCTCTTATGTAAGAAACTTTCATCTCAGATTTCCTCTGTGTCTGTCCGGACTTGTACGCAATTCCCGTTCTTGTCCATGAAATCACAGCTGGTACCGCTGCTGTCGCCATTTCTCTTGCTGAAAAAAAAAATACAGGGATTGTTTAAAGCGATTCAATAATTAACAGACAAAAAATTCACGAAATGAAACATATAAAGAAATTGGAAAAGAGAGAGAGAGAGAAATTAAGGTTATCGATACCTGTGAAAATTGAGTTTGAAGGATGCAACAGAAGTGGATGGACTCAAGAAAGGAGAAGCAGAAAAGGTAGCTTTATTTTTAGGGAAAGAGGAGATTTTGGATAAGGTGGGTGTGGCTACCGCAGCCAATAACGACGAGAGATGGATAGTTCCCTTTTTTATCGAATATCTGTGAACACATGTTCCTCATCGCTTTACTATATATTTTTTTTTCATTAATTTATATTTTAATTCCCTCTTAGACCTAGTGATCTGTTGGACGGATTTGGCTCGAGTTCTAAGGCGAAATGGATTTAAAAAAAAAAAAAAAAAGGTCCAAAATCGACGGATCGGTCCATCCGGAAGGACTTGATGAACCCGCATCCCAGACACATGGCGAAGCGTGAGAGGAGGATTTTTCACGAAAAAAAAAAATTAATATAAAATTCCTCGATCATTTTAAGAATTTAGCATAACTACATTTCCATAGGAGGTGGATTGAACACAGCCCCTTTTAAACATGACCCGTCCCAAGATTCATCTTTTAAAGCCCAACAAGGTTGAGGATCATTAAAGGCTCATAAAGCGAATGGACCGAGGTTATTTTGATCGAGGCTTTGCAAACGGCAGAAGCAGCTCGCCACTGCGGCGTTTAGAAGGACAGTTGGTTAGGTTTAGCTGCCTACACCGTTCGACCTATCCTGATTGGAAATTAACCTAAATTTTTTATGATAAATAGTTCTGTAAGTTCATTTATTACGGCATCCGTAATCCGTCTTAAATGCTTTAATCTCGCAATTCTAATATAAAAAATATTTTACCTCGCTTAAACCGTGAACTCAAGGACCTCTTCGTAGCTCGCCAATTAACCGATCTTATCAATCATCTCGAAAACCAAACCTACCATTACTGAACTAAGACTCTGTTTACCAAGAATCTCCGAGCTTTACTTCGATATTTACCGATCTACCCCTTCGTGCGTATACAAAATAACAATTAGCGTCTACCGTGGGGCTGAGAGATTTTTTCATACGCAAAGAGTAGCTGGATAATATCAGGAATCCCAACTAAAGCAGCAATGATTGGACCACAGACCTCGGTAGCATAAAAAAAAGTGACCACGACTCCCCACATCTACTTGTAGGAAACTCTAAACGGAGACCTGGGGACGCCAAGTTACATCGCAAACCCAAACCCATGGGCGCCGAGTATTAAACAAACGGCGCACGATCACACCAACGTCTCAACCCTGCTCGAAACAATATTGTGTCGAATGGAAGAAATAAATCGTCAAACAAGCGTGCGTCTCGACAAACTAGCTGCAGCACAACTCTCATGCCAGGATCAGGTCAACGTCTTACATTCCTCCGAGACCTAAGTTCCAGAACGGCAGGTCGGACAAGAAACTCAATGATTACAACACGTCCTATTCGGAGACTCACCGATGCCCCCGACGACTGAAAACTGACCGATCTCAAACTTTGACGAGACGAACACGCGGAGGTCTGACCACAAGGCGCGATTGTTACACGCCAAAAACATTGGACAAGATAGAGCAAATGGACAACATGAGAGCAAGGTTGCAAGCCATGACCTCGCTAGTCCATCAGGCGGCTAATTCAGCTCCAGAGATAGATCGCACACTAAAAGAAAGCTATAACACCCTATTCACAGTTGGAATCACTAAATTCTTGGTACGCAATCAGGTCAAATTCAACCTGCCAACATACACCGGTAACTCAGGTCCCAGCCAGTATATGACCACATTCAGCATCCAAATGGGACGAGCTCGATTCACACCCGAGGAGAAAGATACAGGTTTTTGTCAAGTCTTCGTCGAAAATCTAAGCGGCGCAGCCCTCGTCTGGTTCTCCAAATTGAAAGCCAACTCGATCAATAATTATCAAGCACTATCAATGGCTTTGCTCAAAAGGTACATGATGTACATACAAGGCGCAATGTCCGATGCAGACCTCTGCACAATAAAACAAGGCGAGAAGGAGTGCCTCATAACAACGTATTTTGACCACTTTTATGGACCGTTTTGAAATACTTTTTCTATGTTTTTTATTGCTTTCAAGTACTTTTATTACGTTTTTCTAGTATTTGTAGTTCCAAGACTCTTTTCAGGAAACTTAGGGAAAAGCTTAACAAAATGGATAGAAGACCAGATTTTCAGCTCAGAGTCAAACCGTAAGAAGCTCACCCCCGATTGAAGGCATTCTCACCGTCTGATCCAGCTCAAATTTGGAGATCTTAAAGATGGAAGCATCAGCTTTCCAGCACACTTTGCAAGATGTCCCATAAACCAGCCGACAAGCATTTTCACCCGCGGCCAACAGCCATTTCACCACAGTTAGAGGCTTCCCGACCGCGGCCAACCATCCATTCCCCGCGATCACGCACATCTCGACCGCGGCCAGCCAACTCCGAACTCGAAGGCTCATTTCCGAAGCCCAAATCATTTTGTCAGCCTCAATTCCGGAACCCTAGACACTAGAGAGCATTGGAAACTATAAATACATATCATTTAGATCGTTTTTAAGAGAGATGAAATACTTTACAAGAAATTTTACTTTAAGCTTTTGTTTTTAGGTTTAGGGAGAAAGAGATTTGTCTCTTGAACCCTTGTTCTTTCTTTTTCAAATTCCATTTCTGTTCTACATTTTAATACTACGTTTTTGATTTTGTTCATCATGTCTGAGTAGTTTTATTGTTGGGTCTAAGGGATTTTCGATGAGGATTCCATGAACTATTGAAGCCGAATCTTATAACTTTTTCTTCTGAATTTATTTTTACTGCATGAGACTAGCGTCATGAACTACAATCTGATCCAGATGCTTGGTGACACGAAAGTGTTCATCCAGTGTCAGATCTAGTTTGGGAGAGCAAAACAAACATAGTAGGGTGTCAACTGCGTGAGGGAACAAGTTTTACCCTTAATAAAAACAAATGAAAGCCGCAAGTGCACAGCTAATCAGTTGTAGTATTTAGGGATCGAATTAACAAAGATTTGTGTGCCTGGTATTCTTCTACGGTTTCTAACTTTATGTCTAGACTAGATTGGTTTTAGGGGTTGGTTGTTTGTCACAGATTAAACTAAAACGAAAGAAAGTAAATAAATCTATCCTAGTAAGCAAGTAGAAAAATCGAAGGAAAGCAAATGAAACAAGCAGAATATAGGACTAAGGCAGATGAAATGCAGATCTAAATAAGCATGTAAAAATCGATTGGTTTGTAAACTATGGCTAAAAACGCTGAGCTTTTAGGAACTCTACAGGGATCATAATCGGTTTTAACACTAGGGATTATAGATTGGGATTGACGGGAATCGATATATAGGGTTCTAGAGCTAGAGTACGGCGGTATGACTACATCACTGTCGTGATCATAATCAACTGTTTCTTGCAACCCTGACCAGTAGGTTTCCACTCTGGCCCTGGAAGGGAGAGAACGCAAGAGCTGCACAAGACTCGTCAGTACTCACGATCTCGCCGCAGGTAGGTTTCCACTCCTACGGAAAAATCGCCTGTTTCATTCTAGGTCTGATACTTAATGAAAAGTTTTGCAACACAAACTATCCAGATCAGATACTAGGTGATCAATCAAGCATACATGCAATAAGAACGAGAATAAACAGAGAACAAAGTCGAAATCCCAGATCTATAAACCTAGATGTCTTAATCGATTATGAGAGCCCCTTTTGGGAAACCGAAGCCCAACTCGGGATCTACTTAGACATGGCTGAGGTCGACATCATCATTGGTTTTAATAAAAAAAATCAAAAACTGTAAAGAAAAAAAATAAAAGAAAGCTTCTCTATTGAAGAACTCAGAGTTGAACAATCTTCTCTAAAAATCGCATAAAACGACTAAAGGAAAAGGGTTTCTGTAAAAGTATGAAGGTGGTGTCTAAAAACGACCTAAATGACAAGTATTTATAGTCTTCAATACTCCATGGTCTCTAGGGTTCCAAAATTGAGGCAGAGAAATGACTTTGGGATTCAGAAATATGGGCTGTTAATTGGACTTGGCCGGCCGCGGTCGGGAGTAATGTGACCGCGGGAAATAGAGGCTTGGCCGCGGTTGGGAGCTTGTGACCGCAGGAAATAGGCTGGTGGCCGCGGTTGCGTGACTTGCTGGTCGTCTGCGAGTGTCTCCGGGGCAAATGGAATATCTTGAGATCCAACCGTTGGAATGTCTCCAAACCAAGTGCATTTGAAAGCTGGTTGATTCTTCTATAAGTTGTCCAATTTTCAGGGTTATCAGACAGTGAGAAGGTCTTCGTCTCTCCATGAGAGTTCTGACGGTCTGCGGTTATTCAAAAGAGTCTTTTCGTTCTAATATATGCCTCTTTATCCCAAATTACCTGAAAAGTCTTTTAAAATCCGAAAACATAGAAATCCTTTGAAAACCTTTGAAAATGGAGTAAAAACACCTGTAAAAGACATTAAAGTGATCCATAAAAATGGTCAAAATCCGGTGTTATCAACTACCCTAGACTTAGTCTTTTGTTTGTCCTCAAACAAAACAAAGGCCAAATCTTGGTGAGAGGTTTGAAAATGCAGGAACTAAACAAAATCTCAGAGACCAAACTTCTAGACCAATATCAATCATTATGCATCAATCAGGAATAGCTTAGAAAATTCTCACTAGCAATACAGGCATAACTAGTCCGTTAATCCGTCATGCGGAATTCTATTGCACTAAGATCTAACTTCCAGCCAACTAGCTCTTAACATTCATTAAAAATTTCGGTGGTTCTCATCAAAGAAAGGTTAAGCAAGGCAATCTAGGCTAGGTGTGAAAAAGGGTTATTCTAGGGGTAAGGCTTAAAGTGTTTACGGGTTACCTGAAGATTTGGAGAATGCAAGATATTATGCAAAACCGTAAGAGAGAGTGAAGGTGTTGGTATCCTTAGTTTTCAGTCACTTTCTTCTTGCCATAGATTCCTGGTCTTCTTCCCAGGTTCTCTCTTAACTACCCCAGACTTAGATTTTTGTAAATCTTTCAAAACCATAGCTCTTCAAACGAATAGTGATTGCTTCTTGCTCCAAAATTTTCGACAATCTAAGACTCATTAGGCTTTTTGTTTCCCTCTTTTTCATTCACATTTTTTTATTTTTTTTTTGAAAGAGGGAACACCTTTAGATATAGAGTCATAGAGAGCACGAAATTACCAATTAAAATCAGTCTTGTAAAGCTTAAT